AACATGGAATGTATATACACAAAACTTAACCATGTACCTATCTTAAAAACTACTGATTTCTTTTGTTATCAAAAAAATAGAAAATTTGCACTTTTACATGGGTAGATAGAAGACACATGGGTGTTTCAAAATAAAGTATCGTAAACTGGGGGACTTGTAAATCTTAATTAATTATTAGGAAAAGATAAATATATTTTTCCAGTGAACGTCTCAGTTTTCATTCTACAGGGTGAAAGTGAATTTCATAAATTCATAAAATATGAATATATTAGTTAATCGCCATTATTAGTTAACCACACTCTATTTCGATAAATTACGATAACCCATTGTGGTAGAATCAAGTGCTGAGAAAATAATTTTAATCCAAACTTTTTGAGCACCCTATATTTAATAAAAGTTAGGATTAATAATTATTCCTCACACAATTTGTCACTCTTGGTTAATCTATGTAGAACATTTCATTTCTGAGGTTTCTCAGTTTTAGTCCTATTCAAACATGAAATCATTGTACAATTTTATTAATGGCCAATTTTGAAATGAATATTAAATGGGACCATTAAATATGTATTTTCAACATAATAGAATAATATCAAGTGTTAGAGATAGTGGAATTCGTCTTTTTTGGGACTAATTTCTTTATAAAACAGTAGACTTTACTAAAGAAATCTTGTATTTAAAATGTTAGTTTCTTTAAAAGAAGTCATAAAGGTTTCTCTACAAAATGTTACAATGTTAGTATTGGTGATTTTTATTTAATTATAACTGGAATAGGCACAAAAATAAATAAAACGTATAGGTACGAAGACAATTTAAAAACGATGATATCAGAAAATTAAAACCTAATAAAAACAATTTATTTGATGCTTCTTGGCAAAATTAATATTTAAAAAGATAAGTACTGATTTAATATTGTGACGCGAAGCCCTCTCTGTACTTTGTTTACCTTGCCCGCGTTATGAAGTCTAGCGCTGGCCATATAGAGATAGTTCTCGATCGTTCTGGAAAGCCGAGTGTTCTGGTACAGAGTTGGCTTTATATGAACAGCGCGAGTTTGTCAACGAAAGATAAGATTCAATTTAAGTGTTGGAGAGAAAAGATAAATTGTAATAAATAAATTAGACTAGTTATAATGCTGTTATAATAATGCCTAAGTATTATGTAAATTAATTTCAAATAAAGTGTTTTAAATAAATAAACTATAAATAAATTAAACAAACGTTACATTGGTGTTAGAATTGGCAATGTAAATAATGGCTAAAAAACTGTGTATTTTAATTGGGAGTAATCTAGTAAAATAAATAAATTCTGTTAAACACGACATCTTATTTTTAAAGGGGTTTTTATTTTTACTAGATTTTCAATGGTATAAATGACAAATAGGTGGTCGCTTTTTATTTATTTTTGTTGATGTAGGTGGCGCATGGGGGGTTGATGGGGGAGTAAATTATGTATTTTGTCATTTAAATTCGCCTTTCTTACGCTAGAACCGGCTTTAGGCCTTTGGTGATATCATCATATTTAGTTTAAGATATAGCCATTATAAGTTTTTCAATTATTATTAGGATATTAGATTTTTATAATAAGCAAGAAGCTTTTCTCCAATGGCAGACGGTTGACTTAAGTTTTATACCTAATGAAATTATTTATTGTTTCGGCCTTTACTTGATGAAAATCCATATTATCTTAAATGAGTAAAACCAAATTTGATAGATTTTCACAAAACTTTTATTAAAAAAAAAATAAAAATTAAAAAATTAAAAACACTACACATGACAGGTTTCGAAGTACAACTTCTTTTTCAAATGTGACTAATTTACAATTCGGTGTCCAATATATAGGCGAAATAATTTAACTAAACAAAGTAATTAAGAAAATACATCAATAACATAACAAAATAAACTGACTATTTAAAGTAAATAAGGGTATTTAAGTAATTATGATATCAATCAGATAACAATAAGATAGTATCATTACCGGGATTATCTCACAGAAAACTAGGAAAGATTTAATAAAGGTGAGTTATTAATATCTAATTGATCATTTAGTAGGTTATCTGAATTTTTAAATTTATTTATTTCAAATGTTTCTAAATGGTTTAGTTTAATGCCCATTTTCTATATGTAAAATTTCAAAGTAAAAGAATGATTTTCAGCCAAAATATGATTTGAGTAAGTAGAATTATTTTTGTTTTTTGTATAGCTATTATAATGTTCGGAATAGCGCTTTTTGAAAGTACGGCCTATTTGATCAATATACAATTTTGGACAACTAACACAATTTAATTTGTATACCCCCGATTTATTATTAGGATTAATTTTACCCTTATTGTTTTTAATATACTTCCCAAGCGTATTATTAGTTTTGAAAGCTACGTTAATATTTTGGTTTTTTAAATATGATGATAGCATGTTTAAAAAGTTTTTTCCCTAAAATGTTGTCTACTAACTTTGAATTAAAATTATTGTTTACTGCGATTTGTTTAATGATATTTAATTCTTTTGTGAAGTTCTCTTTGGTAAGGGGGATATTAACTAATCTATGGATCATACTGTTGTATGCTGCCAGCTTTTGCTTTAATAAATCACCTTTATTAAATCTCTTTCCTAGTTTTCTGTGAGATAATCCCGGTAATGATACTATCTTATTGTTATCTGATTGATATCATAATTACTTAAAATAGTCAGTTTATTTTGTTATGTTATTGATGTATTTTCTTAATTACTTTGTTTGGTTAAATTACTTCGCATATATATTGGACACCGAATTGTAAATTAGTCACATTTGAAAAAGAAGTTGTACTTCGAAACATGTCATGTGTAGTGTTTTTAATTTTTATTTTTTTTTTAAATAAAAGTTTTGTGAAAATCTACCAAATTTGGTTTTACTCATTTAACCTAATGAAATTAATAGGTATCCAAATTATATGTATATTCAATAAAAAATAGTGGTTGAAATCTGTAGTTACTACTTTCGCGAAAGAATAATATATTAAACAATCTTAATTCACAGCTCATTATCACTGATAAAAACTTGTTAAAAAAAGTCAAATTATGTTATGTCGAACATATACTGCACCAAATTTTATCAAATTATAGAAAATAATTTCCATAGATTTTTCCTAATCACTTGTACGTTGACAATGTTTTTCCTGAATTCTACCGGCCTGATTTTAGAGATCCAACAACAACCGGAGTCCTTTCTCATTTGTACACTCGGTACTTTTAGAAAACAATGAATATTTGCTAAAATAGTAAATGAGAATAAAAATAATTAACGAGAAATTTAATTGATATTAAATAATACACCCGTGGATGTTTTCAATACAGCAGAATGATGACGAGAAGTCCGCTATGTTATGCCAACATAATCGGTTCTCTCACTCCGATTTAGAGATGGAATTATACAGGGTGGTCCATTTAACTTGAGACAGCGCAATATCTCAAAAACGGTAAGTTTTTCAAAAAAAAAGTTTAAATAAAAGTTGTTAGGCGTTACGGGGGAGATGTAATGATGAGCATTTTTTTTATATTGACAACTTTTTGAAGGATTTTCAAGGTTAACTCTCTTTTTCTAGATAGAAATATAGATTTTTTTATTTCAGAATCTTGTTGTATGTAAAAAATCAAATAAGTTTTGTTTAAAGAAATTTTTCATAGAATTGCATCTTCAGTAGATAAAAAATAAAATAACATTTTTTTTTCAAAATTTTATAATAATGAAATGGTTTACTAAAAATGTTTTTCTTCTTAAATGACACAATTATCATATCAAACAACAACCAAAAAAATATGTTGAAGTTGATGCTCATCTTTTTGAGTATTTGTTACATTATTTTTTTTGTTGTTTGATATAATTGTCATTTAATTTTTTGTAAGAAGAAAAACATTTTTACTAAACCATTTCATTATTATAAAATTTTGAAAAAAAAATGTTATTTTATTTTTTATCTATGAAAAATTTCTTTAAACAAAACTTATTTGCTTTTTTACATACAACATTTCCATTTAAAAAAAGAGAGTTAACCTTGAAAAAACCTTCAAAAAGTTGTCAATGTAAAAAAAAATTTTCATCATTACACCTCCCCCGTAACGTCGAACAACTTTTATTTAAACTTTTTTTTTGAAAAACTTACAGTTTTTGAGATATCGCGCTGTCTCAAGTTAAATGGACCACCCTGTATAGGCTTTAGCTTCACAACAAATACACTCTTATCAATGACTAGTTGGAGATGTGTTTATTTCATTGTCTGTAGGAATTCTGAAAAATGTCCGTAAGTATTTACAAAATCATCGCTATTGCACTTCTGAAATTGTGGATACGCCAGGCCAACGTAAACGGACCATATTCAATCTCGTATCGCATAGATATTTTTAAATAGTCATACTATGCAATTTTTGATATTTTCAAAAATATTTTTTGTACCTCTTTTTTTATTTTTATGATATTTACAGTTAATAAGATCCAACACCCTTTTTTTGTTGGAATAATCTGTTAATGAATAGCCTCACCCGAATCTGGAATAATTGCATAAAAAATCCATATCGAGATACTATTATATATGAACAGCCAATGTTTTATACGTCACAATATTAAAATTCTTTTTATTTGGACAATAACTACAAAAGTATGATAATAGATAATAAGTTTTTTTATATAATATCGCGTATGTTTTATAGCAAAGGTTAATGTTACACACACAAAACACAAATAGAAGTTTAAATGAATAATATGTAAAATAGAATACAACAATTCTAAAACGTAAAATTATTTTCTGTCAACAAATCTATAAAATCGTTATTTGCAAAGATAACTGTTAATATTTTGAAAATTCTTTGCAACATTTTGCATATCCTTTAACACTTGATAGTACTGCTACTTTTCTTGTACTTCGTAAATCAAATATTTTTTTAAACGTTATTTTTTCTTTACCCAGTGTTTGTGCTTATAAAGTATAATTTTTATTTGTAAATAAATAGATTAAAAGTAAAAACATGACTTACCTAAAACTTGCTTTTCGGCTTCAACGTCTGCATAATCGAGTCCATTGTCGCTTATCGTGAAGCTGATTCCGGCAGGTTTCCTTGGAGGAACATTGTCTTCGCAAGAATCATCTTCGGCAGGTTTAACACTTTGTTGGGATATCGCTAATCGCCCCCACGTCCATTCCGCTTCCACAGTTATCCACGTTATCAAATCTTCGATTCGTATCACCACTTTTTCGGAAATTGTCAGGACTTCGTCCTAGAAAAAAACAAAAACAAAAATAAAAGTTTTATCGCTTTACAATAAGCGAAACATTGCTTGGATAAGTGGATAAACCTAATTTAAACAAGAAAAGTTATTTGTTTATTAATATACACGATAAGAACAACGATATGATAAAGGAAAATTGTTATTTTATCAATTTGATTGTTTGATAATGAATAAAACCTTTTTTTAAATAAAAATTGATCCAAATAAAGTTTATTGGCCTCAAATAACGAATAAAATTAGATAAAATATTTATACGAGTAGCAATGAACAAATTAATAATAGGAAAATGAATCATTAAGATTCTTTTGGACTTCACGAATTAAAAAAAATAGGGAATTTTACTTAAAAAACACGGGCTTACTAAGATTATATCATATTTTTCTAACTTAAAACCAACTGAAATGAAGTAACAGATGTCAGTTTGTTTTTAGAAGAGATAAATATCATTTGGTGATTTTTCATTAAAATTAATTATCGAAATTATTTTTCCACACTTTAGTATTTTTGTTTTAATATGATTTGAATAATAGTATATTAAAATACAAGTTGCAGAAGGCCACATATTCCTGCACGAATTCTGTAACGTGTGTTTTATACTATTTTCACGAATTTGGGCTTTATTTAGAACAGAAGTAAAAGTTGGAAATGCTTTTACCAGTTCTCCCACTTTATACACATAAATTGACAGGTTGGCAGCGGATCTCACCGAAGTGGACGCGATACATTGGCGTACAAAATTATTTTATAGATGTTAATAACAATTTCGAGTAAATAGTTTAATAAATTGGGAATAGCTGTTGAAATTTTGTAAAATTATAATTTGAATATTATAATACATGTTTAATGATTATTTATAATCCATAAATACATGCGATTGTCCGGTTCCGCCGATAACAATTTAAAATTACTTATTCTATGAAACGACACTGGCAGGTAAACATTACTGTGAAATTCTCGGAGCCGCTCGACGTGGTTTGACGTTTACCCCCTCTCTACCTACCAAAAGACTTTTCAACTTTTACTTTCTCTAAACCGTTTTAATTTTTTTTTGTGGTCGTTGTTAGTTGGGGATTTTTTTCGCAAAATATGTCAGTTGCTAACACTTAGTTACTAACCAACTGTCAGGGTGAATTAATCAGGCAATCCAAACAAATGAGACGCGGTGATAAGATTTGGTATGTCTGAAGGGTTGCGACATACGATGTAGTCTATCTACAATACGTGAAATAATAAATAATTGATAAAATTTAAATCTTTTATGTCCAACAAAATAAAAATATAATTTTAAAAAAATCGGTTATACATTTTCTATAAACTGGCAGGCTTGGGACTACTATTTCAAATAAAAATAGCGTTTAACATGGAAGGCTATGTCGCAACCCCCTTAGATTTACGAGCCCTTCCCACTGGCAGTTGTGAGCGAATGTCAACTGAAATGTCACAAAAAAGTCACCAAAATTTGTAAGAATGAGCTTCATTCTTCAACGATTTTTCGTGCGAGAATGTAACATTCTTACACCAAAATGAAGAAAATTGTTTTTAACTGATTTTATAGGGTTCGCTAAAGATTTGTTGCAAGGGAATGAGAAATTGTATAGAAAAAGGAAACGTAAAATAAATACAAATTTTCGTATTTAGTATACAGCAGAACAAACCGAATAATAAATTTTTTCGGCTTAAATTTGCTAAACACTTGAACATTTTTATTAGTGTTTCAGAAAACCAATGAATTAGTTGGTTAAGATATAAAGTTGTAATTTAAATTGTATCAAAAACTAAAATTAACTAGTAATGGTGATTAACTAACATGTGCATATGTTTAAGTTACATGTTTTTATTCTAGGCTCTAAGGAAAGTTAATTTAATTATTTATTTATGAAATCCATTTATTACCTTGTAGAATGGAAACTGGAATATTTACAGGAAAATTATATTTAGCTTTTTTTAATAATTAGTTAAAATCTACATTTTACTGAAACACCCTATATAAAAACTATTTCAGGATAAGAAACTAGATTTATATTGTCATTTTCGATTCATTGCAAACAAACAGTAATTTAATAAATTGTCAAACAGAGAATAACCGATACTCGACTAATAATCCATAAGATTTATTGCTCCAAAATGAGTTTTCTTGGCAATGAAAGGACCAATAAACTGTTTGGAATACATTTAAAGTATTTTATCGATTTTGTGCTTGAAATCCAATTAGGCTCAAGCTGAAAGGCACATCAAACGAGTAAGCCAGCTAACGCGAATATTCATTCAATAACTAATATAAATAAATATACGGCAAGCTATGGTTTCATTTATGAATTAGGTGTAAGTAATATTATTATTGTAGTTCAATCGTTATGAAAATAGTAGAGAATAAATAGAGAAAGATTAACGGATTGTCTAATTGTAGAGATTATATTATGATAAATAAAATACATTTCAAATAAACACTAATCGCATTTTCATTTTTCATATTTTTCCAAAATAAAAAAATGCTTTATCGGGAACTGAACCCTGGTCGCGAAATCTAAAGTTGAATGCGTTAACGACCTGAGCCATGAAAGGTATGTCAAATAAATTATCTAATTAAATGTGCATAATATTAGAATATTTTTTTTAAACAAAGGATAATTTCCTGACCGTACTATAATTTTATATAAATAAAAAGTTCAATGGTTTATTCGATCTTTTTTATTCTTTTCATAAAATTTAAGTACATATGTTTCGGAATCACAGTTCCATGTTCTGGTGCCAGTCATTATTTAATAAAATATGGGGACGATTACAAACATTGTAAAATAACAGAAACCCCGATTTTTTTGTTTTACATCCTGTGAAGGTGTATTCAGAATATTTTATTAAATATTGACTGGCACCAGAAGATAGAACTGTGTTTTCGAAACATATGTAGTACTTAAATTTTATAAAAACAATAAAAACGACCGAATAAACCATAATTTTTTACCAAATGTCATATTGGATACACAAAAAGAGACAACTGTTTCAACGTCATATATAATAACAAAATAATTCGCATTCGAAGAATGTTTCGCTAACCTCGTTAGCATCATCAGGAATTGATTAAATTAATTACATTTAAATGCAACTGATATTTTTTGAAGCTTGCTCTACATGGTGGTCCCTAAGTAAACGTTCGCGTATTATTTGAAAGTGTTATTGCGGCAAGAAAAATGTCAGAGTAACCTTTGTCCAAATAGGCCTACTTTTGAGATAAAGGTGTGTAGACATTTGATTATAAAACTAACCAAATTTCGATGTTTTAATAGAAAATCTCGTTAACTATAAATGGTATGGAAAAATGGACCTCCCATCCTCGATCTCTTTTTTTGAGAAAAACAATGGAATTTTTAAAAATTACTATTGTCTTTTGTTTTCGAAGTATAAACAGAAGTTGTTTTTTTTTAATAAAAAAATATAAAACTATCTAGACTAAATTTTCAAATTGATGTCCACATGAACATCAACTGGAAATATTCCGAATTGCATTATAAATATGGATATTGGAGATGGAATTAACACACTGTATAAAATTTTGCATTAGTTCGTCAATATAATATTATTAGAAGTATTTTTGTATAAATTGTCTCTAATATATCCCCAAAAGAAGAAATCTAGAGGCGTTAAATGTGGTGAACATTGTGACCACCTTACCGGTACTTTTGTCCCTATCCATTTGTTTCTAAAATTAAAATTTAACAGTTTAGAGACGTTTCTATTATTGTGAGGGGGTGCCCCATCGCACAGTGGGACAAACGCATAATCCAGATAATAAAAAATCGAAATAAATTAAAAAATATTGATATATTAATTTTATGATAAATAACATAGAATATATATAAAAACACAAAAAAGAAGTAAATTGTAAAGGCTGTATCTTATAGTGGTACCCGATGTTTTTTTCAAACAACCAGGTGACAGATCGCCATGTTTGTTAATGTTTTAGAAACGTCAGTCCAGTACAATTTTAACGATGAACCACCTTACACCACAACAACGTGCTGAAATTGTAAAAATTTATTTTGAAAAAAACTCCTATTGCGTGCCATGTTCCCGAATCGATTGATATTGAAATACGGCGATTTCGACTGGCCGGCTCATTCACCAGATTTGACCGCACCTGACTTTTTTCTGTGGAGATACCTGAAGGGAAAGGTTTATGCCGATAAACCAGCCACTCTCCAACAACTTAAGGCCAACATACGCCGAGAAATCGCTGCCATTCAACCCGAAACACTCCAAAAAGTGATAGAAAATGTCGAAAAACGGGCCGATTTGTGTGTGTGCCGTCCGGAGGTGGCCACTTGGCCGATGTCATCTTCAAAAATCTGATGTGTCCAACACATGACTTTCCTATCTAGTTATTATACGCTTTTTCCGGTTATTTTGTACAACCTATTGCAGCACCTTTATAAATGTTTAGAGGATACACTAAATATATACATTTTCCACATACTCGAAACATTTTTCTGTAGATATTCATTCAAAACGAAAATACTGAAAAATTTAAACTTAGCACTTTTCCTACAATTTTTCATAAAAATCAAAATTTTGCACATTTTGTCAAATTTCTCGAATACGGACCATTTTAGGAAATTTTGACGTAAAACAAAAATTATAGATAATAATATTAAAAGTAACTTTTATTTGAACAATTTTCTTCTCCAAACATAAATAACAGATATATTCCATAAAATATAAAAACGGCCTCCCATAAAGTACCCCTCCAGATGTTCCGACTTTGTCCAAAATCTAAGTATTTCACGTCAGGCCGAAGTAAAACTTAAGTTTAAAATTTAATGTTTTTTTCTTTATCCGTTTTTGAGTTTTCTTCAAAATTCGAAATTTACACATTTTCTCAAATTTCTCGAATACGGACCATTTTGGAGAAAATTTTGTATAGAACAAAAATTATAGATAATAATATTAGAAGATATATTCCATAAAATATAAAAATTACCACCTATAAAGTA